TACAGATATCATTTTTTGGTTTTTCAAAAACCTCATTTGACATTTTATCTCAGTCTCAATTTGTTCTTATTTTGTTCTTAATTTTTAAGCAATTTCAGCCTCAGTGTTCTTAAAAAATGTGTTCTTATAAAAAATAAAAGTATACTGTATTAAAGGAGCCTTCAGTACAATAGCAACAAATCAGAAATTAAAACAAAAAGGTAAAAATAGACTTATTAAAAAAAAATAAAATCACATTAGGGCCTACTGAAAGAAACTTAACTACATTTAAACTAAACTTATTTATCGTAAATAAACTTACATCATTAACTATAATACTTTAATTGATTTTTATTTTCATTTTAAAATTGGAAATTTTATTTGAGTTTTTGAGGTCATCACTAAGTTCATTCCATACTTTAGCACCTCTGCTACGTTTTTTATAATCTGTTCTTGGTTTGGGTAGTGTTAAATGATTTTTCAGATCTGGTGTCATAAGGACATTCTTTAATATGAAATCTGCTTGTAAGGTAAGTTGGTGCTAACCAGGTTTTAAAACTACCATTTTCTTTAATCTGTCTAAAATAAACAGAAGATTATGTTGTACAGTAATGTAAACTTAGTAATTTTACAGTACAACAAATATAAAAACTTAAAGATGCAATTTCAATACATAAATTGGGGAGATAAACAAAATAAGTACAACAGCTGCTGCAGCAGACATCTTAAGTACCTATCAAGATCCAAGATTAAAAGTCACAAAAGTTGTACAATTTGAGGCTCAGCAGCAAATGGATTTAAATAGTACTCCCTGTGGCACCATTCAACAGAGCAAAACTGCTGTCGATCTAGCTACAGCACTAAATAAAATTCATTCCCTCAGGTGTCAAAAAAAACCTTGCAGTGCACAACTTGCAAAATGTACTGTATACCAATTTAAATAACTAAACAAGCAAACTCAAAATCACTTGATAGATTATATTAATCGACCTAAACATACTGTAGGCCTAAACAATAATAATTCCCTCCCCCCACCCCTTACCCGGAAGGAATGCTCATTTTTTATGCAATTCTTCTTTTATTGCCAAAATCAACATAAACAAACACAATAACAGTCAACTCAGGCAGCAGGCAGAATCTTAAAAGTGAACTACTGTAAATCACTGCAACAAAAGTTAAGGTTCCTTACTCCCAAAGTAACATAACAATAAATAAATAAATATTATACAGTAAAACCTCTGTCTATACTATCAAATTTTCTTTGACAAAACATTGTTGTATTTGCATACCCTAGGATCATGATGTCCCTATATGACCATGATGTGATGTCATCATGACCTTATTTAGGCATGTCAGATATTTTTTGGGATTTAAATAGTATTCCCTGTGGCACCATTCAACAGAGCAAAACTGCTGTCGATCTAGCTACAGCACTAAATAAAATTCATTCCCTCAGGTGTCAAAAAAAATCTTGCAGTGCACAACTTACAAAATGTACTGTATACCAATTTAAATAACTAAACAGCAAACTCAAAATCACTTGATAGATTATATTAATCGACCTAAACATACTGTAGGCCTAAACCATAATAATTCCCTCCCCCATCCATTACCCAGAAGGAATGCTCATTTTTTATGCAATTCTTCTTTTATTGCCAAAATCAACATAAACAAACACAATAACAGTCAACTCAAGCAGCAGGCAGAATCTTAAAAGTGAACTACTGTAAATCACTGCAACAAAAGTTAAGGTTCCTTACTCCCAAAGTAACATAACAATAAATAAATAAATATTATACAGTAAAACCTCTGTCTATACTATCAAATTTTCTTTGACAAAACATTGTTGTATTTGCATACCCTAGGATCATGATGTCCCTATATGACCATGATGTGATGTCATCATGACCTTATTTAGGCATGTCAGATATTTTTTGTCAAAAGAAAATTTGATAGTCTGGACAGGGCTTTATAATAGCACATCATCTCTACAGTATGCACTTCACATTATCATAATGCGGTTATTGAATCAAACACCCATATAGTAGTGAAACACACGCACAGTTCCCTGGGGAGAATTCCATAATGTTGCATCAGCTAATCAGCACACTGACACTTGAACCTATTTTACCAGTTTCCTACTTTAAACCAGGGTGGAGAGAGACAGCCATTTAGCACCTTCCCGAAGACAATAGAATTGCAGAGGGAAGTTGGAAGCTCCGAAACATGCTCTGACCTTAAGGTTGGCAGATTAATTCCAATCAATCAATCAATCAATTAATCAATCAATCAATAAGGTGCATAATACAGGTGTCTCTATGCGGCAATAAAGATTTAAAAAAGACCAATGAAGTGAAGCAAGCAAACAAAGTCGGTACGAGATCAAGTGTCACCAGCGAAGAGTCAGCTACCGTGCCACCACTACCATGCCACCACTACCGTGCCACCACTACTGTGCCACCACTACCATGCTACCACTCATGCAAGGTTTACTGTACAACCCTATGAAGTAAATCACACTATTTATACATACAGTAGAAAATGTCTATTTTTAACATCAATTCAATATAAAGGCTCTTCTATTTTAAATATGAAATTTAATTGATTGAATTAATCAAAATTGGAAGGCTTTAATGTTGCTAAATTAATGAATAAATAAACTTAAGTTTTTATAAGGTAGTTTTTTGAACATTTTGTCTTCAATCATGCTCTGTAAATCTGTTTAACTGGACATACTAAATTACTTTAATTTTTATTACAATTTGCTACAGTATTTGAAAATTTTGTCTTTGCAATTCAATCATGCTCTTGAAAACTATTTTTTTTGTGGAATATTTTTTCTCCTCCCAGTTCGATGCTATTTTGTATGTTTAAATTTACTATACTGTAAGTACTTTTGTTTATAATCTTGACTTTGACTATTTCAAAAAGCAGTACTGTCTTTAATACTGAAACTGCTATCCATTCAAAAGAAAGAACAAAAAAAATAATTGTTCATTTGTAATTTACAAACAGCCAAAAATAAATTACTACAGTAAGGCAAATTTCACGGTAGGCTCTCAGTGGTTTAAGATGGTATAATTTAACCACAGACCCTATTTGTATACTGTATAGGGTCTGTGGTTTAAATAAACCATGAAGGTAAAAAATTGAGAGGAGGAATAACAACACACCTTTCTCCTTTAATGTTTACTGCCAACATTAAGAGGACATTAATTCTCAATATACAGTATATCACCCAGTTATCTATCAACTCTGGCTTGTTATGTAACCTGCTTGCTGCAAAAACTATTGCAAGGTCTGAGGTCAATAAACCATGCCAGGCTACTACCCACAACAGCTAACTATACAGTACTTGTATTGAAAGTTTCTTGTTTTAATACCTAATCATATAGTAGTTTTGTAATTTACAGAACACTAAAACTGTCATGAATATTATGTAGAAGTACAGACTTTTTTTAAGAACATAGTATTTAAATAAAAAATATTAAGGCTAAAATTGCTATAAAAATAAGAACAAGAAATTGAGGTTGAAGTAAAATGTTAAATGAGGGTTTTATTTTTAAAAACTCCCAAAACAAACCCCAACAAATAAAATAATCAAATACAGTAAAGTATTAATGTTTAGATATATACTGTAAAATTATTTTGGTCTTACCAGTAACTTATGTGCACTACCGTAACAGCAGGTGTGAATGTACTGTAATACCCTCTATTAGTATACAGTATAGTAATAAAATACTAATATACTGATACAGTATACAACAATAATTTTCTATCACTGAAAAGTGTGTAAAATAAGAACAAAATAAGAACATTTTGAGCCTGAAATTTGAAAAGAAATGAACACAGAATCTGAACAAAATTTTACTGGTTCTTAATTAATAAAGTGTATTTTATTATTCTAGAGTAGTGAGATTACTAGTGTACAGTACGTAAGTCCTGTAGATTTCATTAAAAAAATGCTTTATCTGAAAAATACTGTAAAGAAAAAAGGATAGATACACTGGAAAGCAATGGGGTATGATGCCCTGTTGTACTGTATGATGAGATAATCAGGTACCATGATAATATCATGGAGTGTGGCATGGCGTCCTGTGGTTTGATCTGGCCAATCAGGTACAAGGATTGGTACCCGGGGTAGCAGCATGATGTCCTGTGGCATCACGCAGGACTGTATGTTGTTACACACCGAACCTTCCTCCAATATGGTTCCGATAAATGACTCAGACAGTATCTACTTCCTGTGCAGAGTTCCAATTTGAATGTCATGTCACGTCCGACTGCGAGCGCCAGACACTTTCACATTCTACTTGGTGACACCGCAAAATTATTCATAGCCATAAATTAAGTTAATCAAAATACCTTTAAAAATATTATAAGCTTTGGCATTATAAATTTTGTTATAAAAAAAAAATTAATCAATATACCAACATTTTAATTATCATTGCTGTTATACAAAAGTAATCCGTCAACCCAGGTCCAGTTTCAGGCAACATACAGCAGTATATTGTATTTATATTGTTTGTTGTACTAGAATTTTTAATTTATCGTCTCCATTTAACTGTTTCAATGTATTATACAATGAAAAGATCATCAGGAGCAGACAAAGGCTTGCAGGCAATATTATCAGGTGTAGTGAGCCAGCCAACCTACTTTCTACGAAACAGTATTATGAAGATGGGGCAGACTACTGTAATATTCATGCAATACTCTACCTAGTCGATAATGTTGTAATGCGTAATATTGCCTGCTACATGTCTAAAAATATCTATCGACACCAATGGTTATAGTATATATCCAAGGTACAGTATACCATTTTGGAGCATGGATGAGGACATTCTCCTTGACAGTGCAAAAGCAACTTGTACAGTCTCTTAAGGATACAGACTTGTAAAATGTATTGACCACACTGTCTCATGAGCATGACAAGTTATTCCTAGAAAGGCATGGCCTTTAGCACAATATTAGGCTTTACAGTATACTGTACAAGAATAAAAGCATTTTTAAATTACTCTTACCTGCCCCAAATGCAAAGAAGAAACTTTTCTTAGGGTATTCTTCGAGGAGTTCTTTCACCCGCTTTGCCATACGACGATTCCTCTTAATAATTAACTCTTCTTTAAAATATTCATCAATTTCATTGGCTGTTGTATATTCAACTGATGTTAGTGTGGTATTCAGCATACGCGCTAGTTGAGCTGTATCGCGGTTAAATATGACCGAATCCAGGTCTCCACAATTATAATGTCTAATGAGGTCTTCGGTCGTGTATGACATGTGACTTTCCCCTGATCGTAGACTTTCATGTTGGAACAATGTTTGGTTAAGAGCAAACAGAACCTGAAATTTAATGAGAAAAAATTGTTTTTTAAGGATTGAATAGAAGAAGCATTTTAAAGTCACAGGTGATATTGATGTTGGAACACATAACTACTGTACTTTTTTTATTCAGTTCGAAACCTACAGTGATAAAAACCACCATAACAGGTTGAATCAAAACGTAATAAAATAAATGTGAACCATAGTGTTAACTATGGTTCACTAAAACACTAACATAGATTTCACAATTTTATTTTAAAAACATTTAAACTATCATAAAAAAAAAAGAGATTGAACTCACAAGTAACAAGCAGACTATTAAATTTGTTAGGTAACAGTACTGTACATTATTTAGTAAACACAGATACTGTAAGGCTCCCACAAACATCATAACAAAAACAATATTAATATTAAAAAATAATAAATAAAAATCTAATAAACACAATATAGTAGTCACATTTTAATATTCAGTACTACCATATTTAGTAATGTGTGATTTGTAGACTTAGCAGACTTTTAATATTAAATTACTATTCAGTCAACAGAAATTCAGTACCTCCCTACTGTTGTTAATGTTATCCTTGACTCAGTATGCCAATGATATTGCTATGGTAACATAAACAATAACAATTATTTCTCAACTGATAAATAATCCAATACCCATGGATTATCATGAATTGAATGATAACATCTTCTTGTACTAGTCAAGGCTACAACTTAATCTTAAAAAGTGCATTGAACTTGCTACTGTACCATGCTGAAGACTACTGTACAGTATGAATCCTATTTAGACTACTCTAGCACTAGACATGGGTGAAAATGTCAAAACTACTTCATACTCTGTATTCATACTCTGTATTCATACAAATATTAACATCCTTAATCTCCATTATTGATTGGTGGTATTTCATCACTATACAGTAGCAACAATATGATGTGATCTTATGATATGGAAACTTCTATAAAGTAGCCAACAATAGTATTAAGCTGGTATGTTGAGGCTTAATATTGATCAAGATGGACAAGTGCTTTGACCAGCATGTAATGTCCTTGAATGGTCAGTTTAGCCCTGTAGGGTTCCTATGCAATACCAAGATGTCAAGGTACTTTTAATCCAAGTTCAAATTATGGTAGACAGGTGGAGAAAATAAAAAGTAAGCACGCTAAATATCAATTAAATACTTTAGTAAGGTAAGACTTCTTCAAGGTAAATAGCCATTCCTCTCTTGAAGAAAAAATTTTACAAAATATTAAATTACAGTATATATTTAGTTGGCAATTGGTATCGTACAATAAACATCTATAGATTTTATATCTGTTGAGATATACAGTATGTGCGTTCTGTGTACGTGTCTGTATATGTTGTTTATACTTGTGAGGCGTCACAGAATTTGTGGGACCCTGGTGGTGACTGTTATTGGGGACCCTAATAAGCAAGCGTTAAGTTTGCGAGCGGGAGAACAGGGGATAAAGGCCCCTGGTGGGGGTTCGACCCTCTCGCGCTCAAAGCTTATGATCTTCATGAACAGTTAACTGTGTTGTCAGAGAACATACCTGTAGAATAATGGTCCATGACTGATGAAATACTTCAGACAATTTTATGACACAACCAACAGAGATTACAGGCCAACTTTTAGAAATGATAGGCCTACAGTAGGCCTATCTACTGTTGTGAGAAACGTACAAAAACATGAAAAGGAATATGACAGGCTTAACCATTTCCAAACCACTGTCGGTAAATCAAAAGACCCTCTATGCTTACTGTATGTCACGCGCGACATCAATCAACACCATAAACAAAAATCTGAGATACTGTACATGCAGTTTCTGTACTGTATGATGATGCTAGGGCGGTGTATTTTCAATGTTTAAAACTGTTGGGGCCCCATTTAATGAAACTATGATATTACGGTATACTGTAGTATTAAATATTATATATTTTTTCAAAGTACAATACCTGAATCCCTCACGCCTCCCTCGTATAAGAGACCATCCCATGCCCGAGCTTGATGCCACTGTTAGGAGGACAGTATACTGTGTATTTATATTCAGTATTTTTTTTTTTAAGCTAAACTGACAGAGGAATGAGCTTTGCAGTACTGTAGGTGCATTTAAATAATAATCTAGGCTACTGTTGGCAGACATTTTAAGGATGTTGTACAAAACTTATGTGAGTTGTTTTACCTTATGACCAAATCAATACTATAAATTAATATTGATGCTTAAATGGTTGACAACTTTTGTCGTTAAAATTCCAAGCTTGTGTCGTAATCCACACAGTTGATTTGATTCAGAAGTGCTAAATCCATTTAAGAGACTTTCATGATACAATTCATATGTCATTATGTTCTAGTATGTACAGTGTTATGATGGGCTCCACATGGCTAACGTCAAGAATATGAGTTGTACAGGTGAAATATTGGACCCATGCACCATATTAAATTTCTTTATTTTTAAAAATACAGTAGGCCTATAGAACTACAGAATACTGTAGAATACAGTAGACTTCTTTTTTTCCTGTGAATTTTTAAATATTATATCAACCAAGGAATTTATCCAACCTGATAATATCTAAATAAATTCATGTCAAGCCTACTGTATCCTGTACTTCAAAAAGACTAAGACTCAAGTAGCACAGCACTATAATGTTGTTTTCTCTTTTTTAATTTTTTTTTTTTTTTTTTTTTTTTGGCACAGGTGTATGTACTGTACTGTAGATTATTATATCTACAGACGTTCCAATAGAAATCAAAATTTGGAGACTGGAGGTGCACTAGAGAAGTGCACCCTAATCCCAAGAAATATTAAAAATGTAAGTTGTTCATGCATGCATTCTGATCTTCCAGGTGTCAGTAACACTCGGAAAGACATTGTACCATACTGACATCGTTAATAAAGTCGGGAAACACTGACATACAGTAGATACTTAATTCTTTGTACCAAAAATCAACTAAATTAGTCATTTAGGGTAGTTGAGAGTTCTTTTATGAAATTTGGGATTATTTCACAAAATTTGAAAGAAAAGGAGACAGCATGAATATTCAGAAGACTCCCAATCGAATCAGGATGTATGCTTTAATATACATATTTTCAATGAAAATATTTCAAACCAAGAAGTTAATACATTATATTTTTAATTTTCTCAATTAATTATTTTAAACTATCGATCATGTATTTTATGAATTTTTATCATCTTTTTATGAATTTTATCATTTATTTTCTGAATATTTTCCTTAATGTCTTTAATTTTATCATCAATTTTATGAATTTTATAATGAATTTTATGAATTTCACCTTTATATTTTTATGAATTTTATTATAAATGTTATTAATTCTCCTTTCACTTTCTATCTCTGTTGTTTTTTAACAAAAGGTTGTCTTGGAAATACCACCCCAATCTGTCAGTGGTTTGCTTGCTTTTTTAAATCCTTTCTTTATATTTGTAGGCTAGGTTCTAGTAGTCTGGTTGTAAAACTGCTGAAATTAACTTTAGCGGGAAAAAAGTAAAGGAAAATTAATTTTTGGTTTTTCTAAATCAGCATACCCTATAGTGTCTCAGAAAAAAAATCCCCATGCCTAGGGCTTGGGCAATTTTTTTTACAGCACTTTAAAATTTTGACCTAAAATACCCTATTTTAAACTATTTAAGGTGGTGGTATATAGGGGAAATAAATTTATGCTTTTGGTCACTTTTACATATACTGTGGATATGAAATGTAACAACAACGTGGCTAAATATTTACTCATCACTCTCATTAAAAAATTTGATCGGAATGATGATGTCACCATGACAAATTCCAAGATGGCGTCCATTATGTCGGGAAAAAACTATGTTTTTAATGTAAAAATAATTTTATTGTTATCAAAGTACAATACAAT